CACACACACACACACACACACACACACACATATGTATATAACATTATATATACACCTATACCTACCTATCTATATGTAAAAATAAATAAATAAATAAATATAATTTATTTATAAATAAAAATCTTAAGCCACCAGCTAAGGATACATTCTTTCTGACCCATCCCATAGTCCCTCAAAACTCAGGCAGGGCAAAGCAGATTTTTTTCCACACCATGTGACATTGTAGCATTAGAGATAAGGGGTCCTAGTAACTGTGCAATGACTGGCAACCTCTGTGGCTGCAGGTTGGACAGCACTATATATTCAATTAAGTAACTGAGAGGGGAAAAAAGTGCCAGTTCCTATAAACCTTTCATACATGCACACATAAAGGCTAGCTGCCCTCTTTCTATTATTATTATTCATTATCACCTGCCTCAAAATTGTGCAACTGCATTTTAGTATGTTCAGTCCAGAAACAGTTAACAACTTCAATTCACACCACAATAATTCTTCAGAATTTAAAAAATGAAAATATTTTCACCTTCGTGGTTTTCCCATTAATCGTCTGATTTTCCCCCATTCAACTCTTGTTAATTTTCGGGTTTTCAAATTTGGGAAAGACTCTTTCAGGCATACGCAGAAATCATTATCTCCTTCAAATAATGGCCTGTTAAAATGCAATTGGTACTCTGTTAATTGTAAATTTTAGCCATCAGATGTTAAACTTCAGTCCCCATGACAAGAAATCTGAACAGATACACTGCAAATGTTAAAGTGTACATTTAGTCATTTTTATGCAAGAGACACCACTGCACTGAAATTAAGTCAGCTGGGTGTGGGGAGAGAGAGTATAAAATAGTTAGGTCCTCTCACCAATATCTGGGTTTTTACATTTCATTCCATTTTTTTAATTTACATTTTCTCTCCTCCCTTGATGCTTTGTGGAAAAACTGACAACTGTTCCTACACTGTGTTATGTTGGACAACTACTCTTGTGCAGAGCCCTACTGAAGTCAGTGAGGCTCAGTGCAGACACAGCAGTCCACCCAAGCAAATAATTATGAATCAGTGAGATCCTGGGAGGCAAGGTGCTACCCCAAAACAACAGTGAAAGAGCTATATACCAAGTGCAGCTGAAAGCACAGAAGTGTAATGGTTAATTCTTAAATTCACCAGTTCAAAATTAGAGACAAGGTTTGAAAAAAATGATGTAAAATACAATCCCCCCAACCCCCCCTCTCAAAAAAAAACAACAACACACTTCCAAACACTATTTGCCCTAACAATGATGCTGGGAGAACAAGTGTTGAAATCTTGTAAAAAGGGGGCAAAACCACCTGAAACAAAGACCTTAGAAACAGACTGAAAGGCAGGTTAGGAGAACCAAAAGAATTGTGGGGAACCAGCAAAGAGCTGGAGGGAATCTTGCTAGTTTTCGTTCTTAACTTCAACAAGACGTGGTAGCACAGCTCTAGCAGGAAGTTTCTTCATCAATTAAAATCAAGAGGGAGATCACTGGAATGCTAAGAAGCCAGCATTCATGACTGTTATGGAGGTAGTATCTAAGGGAAATGTGAGGGCATGCATTTCTTGTTCTACTTTGCTACCACCAATCTCAAACATCAAGAAATTCCCTAAGAGTACTCTCACTCTTATACTAGGAGCTAAAACACAATGAAGATTTTGCATCTTCCCCATTTGGTGTAGGCCAAGTCAGCAACATATGGACTGCAGGCAGAAGCTAGCTTTGCTTGTGCCTGTTTTGGGGCCAGGCAGATTCCAGCATGCTCGGCAGCAAAGCTGGAAGTGGACTGGAAGTACTTCTGGGTCTGCTGCTGAGTGCACTGGGGAGCCCCCCGTGCTTCTGTAGGGCACTCCATGAGCCCCAGCATCACAGCATTCAAGAGCCCCTGCTACCTAGAGGTATGTAGAAAAAACATTTAAAGCTGTCTCTATGTCTGAATCTCCGAATCGATTCGGAGAGATTAAAGGGTCCTCTGATTCAATTCAGATTCGGAGATTCGGCCAGTGAATTGGGTTGAATCGAATTAGGGACCGAAGCTTTGCAGAGCCCTAGTGGGGAGCTGTGCTAGGACAGGGCAGGGCAGGGCAGGGTAATGCAAGGGAGAGATGGGAGAAACAACAGCAGCAAAGGTGCAGTTTGCACATGCCAGATGCAACTCCCCAAAGGTTGGCAGCTGAGCTGGCACCACAGCCAAGAAGCCAGGGGCTGGGAGAAGTGGCAGCAATGCTGGCACAGCTCCCAGCTGCCTGCCTGCAGTGTGGGCACAGGGAAACCCCCCTGCCACTTACAGGCAGCCAAAGCTCCCCGGCCTACGTTGGACCAGAGTTGGGCTGTTACACCCCTCAGGTTTAAAAGGTTGCTGGCTCCTGATATAGGCTACTTGAAGGAAGCTCTCAACACAAATTAAAACATGCCATAGAATACTAAATGAGCTCTCAAGCTGGGTACTAGTCACAATCCTTGGAACTGCAAAAGTATTTTTTTCTTTTTTATTTAAAAGAAAATCTCAGTGTCAAGAGCGAAAGTTCAGATGCCTTACTATAATGTCAGGATGAAATTAGGAAGGCCAAAGCACAACTGGAGTTGCAGCTAGCATGTGAAGGGTAACAAGAAGGGTTTCTACAAGTATATCAGCAGCAATAGGAAGATCAGGGAAAGTGTGGGTCCCTTACTGAATGGGGGAGGCAACCTAGTGACAAATGATGCAGAAAAGCCTTTTTTTTCCTGTCAGCACAGGCAAGGTCAGCTCCCAGACTACTGCACGTGGGATCAGTTTGGGGAGAAGGTGAGAAGCCAACAGTGGTGAAAGAATAGGTTTGGGGCCATTTAAAAGAACTGGACATATACAAGTCCACAATGCACTCAAGGGCACTGAGGGAGTTGGCCAATGTGATTGCAGAGTCAATGCCCATTATCTTTGAAAACTTGTGGCAGTTGGGAGAGGTCCTGGAAAACTGGAAAAGGGCAAATATAGTGCCCAGCTTTAAGAAAGTGAAGAAGGAGGATCCAGTGAAGTACAGAACAGTCAGCCTCACCTCAGTCCCTGGAAAAAAATCATGGAGCAAGTCCTCAAGGAATCTATTTCTAAGCACTTGGAGAAGAAGAGGGTGAATAGGAACACTCAGCATGGATTCACTAGGGGCAAATCATGCCTTACCAACTTGATTGCCTTCTGTGATGAGATGACTGGCTCTGTGGATCTGGGAAGAACAGTGGACATGACATACCTTGACTTTAGCAAGGCTTTTGATACAGTCTCCCACAACATTCTTGCAAGCAAGGTAAGGAAATATGGGTTGGATGGATGGTGGATAGAAAACTGGCTGGATCATCAAGCTCAAAGGGTAGTAATCAATGGCTCAAAGTGTTTAGCTGGCAGCTGGTAACAAGTGGAGTGCCCCAGGGATTGGTTCTGGGGCCAGTTTTGTTCAATATCTTCATCAACAATGTGGAAGAAGGGATGGAGTGCACCCTCAGCAAGTTTGCAGATGACATCAAGCTACGGGGAGTAGATGCACTGGAGGGTAGGGCTAGGATTGACAGAGACCTAGACAAATTGGAGAACTGGTCATGAGATTCAATAAGGAGATGTGCAAAGTCCTGCACTTAGGACAGAACAATCCCATGCACTGTACAGGTTGGGGACCAACTAGCTGAGCAGCAGTTCTGCAGAAAATGACCTAGGGATTACAGTGGATAATAAACTGAATATGAGCCAACAGTGTGCTCTTGTTGCAAAGAAGGCTAACAGCATACTGGGCTGCATAGTAGGAGTATTATCAAGACAGATCAGGGAAGTGATTCTTCCCCTCTGTTCAACACTTGTGAGACCACACCTGGTGTACTGTGTCCAGTTTTGCCCCCCCCCCCCCCCACTACAGAAAGGATGTGGACAAATTGGAGACAGTCCAGTTGAGGGCAACAAAGATGGTTAGGGAGCTAGGTCACATGACTTCTGAGGAGAGGCCGAGGGAATGCAGCTTATTTAATTTGGAGAAGAGAAGATTGAGAGGGGATTTAACTGCAGCCATCAACTACCTGAATGGTGGTTCCAAAGAAGATGGAGCTAGACCGCTCCCAGTGGTGGCATATGACTGAACAAGGAGCAATAGTCTCAAGTTGTAGCAAAAGAAGTTTTGGTTAGATATTAGGAAAAACTCTCACCAGGAGCGTAGTAAAGCACTGGAATAAGCTACCCAGGGAGGTTGTGGACTCTCTAACCTTGACAGTTTTTAAGACCTGGCTAGGCAAAGCCTTGAATGGGATGAGATAGTTGGAGATGGTCCTGTTTTGAGCAGGGGGTTGGACTAGATGACCTCCTGAGGTCTCTTCCAACCCTATATGATTCTATGAATTTACAGTTCAATTCCAGTGTGACAAATTCATAATATATGATGAAATAATACATACTTATCTATATTTGAATAGAACCATTCATATATGCACCATTTGTGTGCTTTGGGAAGTTTGAGTAGGTTACGTAACCGCAAACCAATCTTCTGTGATGCTTTCTTGTCTGGTGTTGGCACTGTTGCAGTAAACTTCTACACAAAAAAACAAGAGTGGTTACTAGTGATTTAATTTCCCAGGTGAAAATGAAGCACTTACAATAGCAAATATACAAAATGGGACAATGCACCAGATAGAGTGGAGCCGTTCTAGAATTCTTCAACAAGACAAGCAAAGTTCATTTCTTTGGTTAAAAGTAAGTACAATAGAACCTGCAACATTTTAATTCAAATATTTTGTTCAATATTTTAAATTCTTTAATCCAAAGGTAATATCAATATAAAATGCTAGGGATTACAGCCAGCAATAAAAGAACTGATGCCACAAACTAACAGAGATAGTATCACCCACTACTAGCTGGTCAGGCTCTCTACCCTAGGTTTTTTTGGACATATGGATACTGCTAGTTAAGGTCCGGCAGTGGTAGTGGCATTAATGTACATAAAGCTCCAGGTGATCTCCAACATATGAAGGAATATTTAATTCATCTTGTGCCCAACAAGTCCACATGAAATGGTGACTAAAATGCAGGCACCTTTTCTGAAGTACTGTTTCCAGTTTTTATTCTTTAACTTGAACTGTATATGAAATTTTAGGAACATTAGTGTGATAAAGATGAGGCCTTGGAAAAAGTGTCTGAACATGGTTTTTTGGTAGCTGATAACCATACTAGGTATGTACATGTAACCTTCTGCAGGTTTTAACTGTGTTTGAAAACAATTTCACCAGCCATGCTATGGGTATGACCTAAAATACAAGAACAATTTTCAAACATGATTGAAGCAAAATCACGTGGTAATGTTTGTGAAACAGTGGTTGCCTTAGTGGACAGATATAGAAGCTAACTTACTCCTAAATTTGAACACAGTAGAGTATTACTTCATATTTTTCCCTGACAGACCCAAGGGTATTAACAGAGTAGAAAGATACCAGACCTTGCCTGGAATACTGTGTAATAAGACTAGCCACCTGCATTCAAGAAAAATTAATTCAAACTGGAGCAGGTATAGGGAACAAAAAGGGGACCAAAAGAAGTTGGTTGATATAGGCCCCAGCAGAACAAAGGCTGACAGGAGATAGCGCTGCTTTCAACAAATATAGCCAGGGTTAAATACTAAGGAAGGAGAAAAGCATTTTAAGCTCAAGGATAATGTTTTCATAAAAACAAATGGTTATAAACTAGCCATGAATAAATTTAAGCAAGAACTTAGAAAGTTTCTAATTATCAAATTCATGTTGTTCTGAAACATATTTGTTACAGGAGTTAGGGAGCCACTACTTTACAATGGAGCTCAATTAAATCATGAATGTGATTAGGTGATGTGGTTGCCTGCAGTAGTAGGATACAAGAGCCCCTTTCAGCCCTACTGTCCTATTTTTCTACTTTTGGGAATCAACATGAACACTCTCAACATCACACAGGAACCCAGTTGTGGAAAAGAAAGGATATACAATTTATGCACCCCAAAATGCATAAATTGACTATGTAAACAGAGAGCAAATAAAATCTGATTTTCAATCAATATAACTAGATTTACCTCCCTTTCTGATAAATGTCTTCATATAGGCATACATACCTGAGTAACCACTGCAACCTTTTGATTTCTTTTGGGTGACCTTGTATTTAATTGTCTGTCGTCTTCTTCACAAAACAGACGACTCCGCTTTGAATTTCTGGAGGGCTGTATGCATCAAAATAAAGAAACAAATGAAAAAACTCATTTCTTGCTGTCATGCACAATCTGCTAATGTGCATAATAGCTATTGTGCTTTGCTGCCTATGCTTTTGGATGAATGATACATAATTATTTCTATGAAGCACTGTCTAATAGCACAGCTATGATAAGGGGATCCATTAGTTTCACCTTTTGAAAGCAAATTGCCAGGGCTTAAAGAGAAAAGTGCCTTCAAGCAATGCATTTCTTCTGATACAGCCTGAATAAAAAAACTGCGTTGGATAAGCTCCTGCCAAAAGGAGTTTTTTAATTTATTACTAAACAACTGGTATACATAATGCACATTGTTTAATACATAATGACACAAAAATATGGATTACGACAATAAACTTTATAGTGTTGCTTCCAGAATCACTATGCACCAAACAATGTATTTAAAAAAAAATTAAAACCTCTATCTTGAAAACTTCCTTTATACCACAAAATGCTAAAAATGGAATCATGATAAACAATGTTTAAATATTATAAAGCTCTATAACAAGGAAGGAAGGAATTTAAGATTTAAATTTGTTCAATACTAACTGTAAATCATGACAGATCCAATACAAAAATAGTAAAGGTTAAGAAAACTGGAAATTGAATTTGTAAATGTGTGGCATGTTGTTTTCAAAACATTTTTTTTGTTATTTCTTTTTAATATGCCAAAGAAAATGGTCTTCACTAAAAATAAAGGATAGGGCTATAACAGGTTCTTGCACATGATTTCTGAGCTCCCCTTCTTCCTACACTCATCTTGTGCCCCAACCCACAAGCCAGCTTAACATAAGACTGCACCCTGCTAGCAATTCCTGTGGTGCAAGCTAAGGGTGGATCCAGGGGTGGGGGGGTTGGCAGTGCTTTCCAACCGCCCTTTGGCTGTCATACAAGCAGAATGAGCTCTAACATAACCATCTGGTCAATCTGAACTCCAGGTGTAACCAGAGTGCTGTTTGCCTCCCCCTCCTCCTGAATTCAGCAGCAAAGGAAAAGAGGGGATGATCAATGGTGGTGCTCACTCCCTGGACTTTGACGCAGTGTGAAAATGGTGTTTCTGGCTCCCAATGATCAACTAGTGAATTTGAAAATCTCATGCATGCAGAGCTCTATCAGGAGCCCACTCTAAAAAGGCAGTGATCTCAGAACTCATTATACATGCATATCAGAGCCAAAGTGGGGGAGGGAGCAGTGCACCCCATGCTAGCCCCGTTCTTGGGTCCACTGTTGGTGCATGCCAGTTTAAAAGGGGTTGGGAAGAGGCAAAACTAAATGCAGACCTCACTTTTAGCAGTTTCTCTATTAAGAACAGTGGAGTTACTCCTAATTTACATGAATCCACACGTGTGATTAATTTGAAGCAATAAATTTTGGTGCATATAATGCCAGAGTTTATTGCTGCCAGGCACCACGTTTGAACGCTTGCCTGGTACCCCAGCACACTGAGCCAGGGTCAGAGCAGCCCCGTGTGGCAGGGGGCCCAGGATGTCAGGCTGCCAGACCACGGCTGCTCTGACCTGGCTCAACATACTGCAGAAGGGCTGGCTGGGGCACGAAGGTGCTCCAGTACAGCCAGCTGGCAGCCCCTACACTGAAGTGCCTTCGTGCTCCAACCAGCTGGGGTAGCATCTACATGTGCGCTGCTGCAGAGTAAAAAACTCAGTAGCAGGACAGTACTTGTATTTTTGTAAATACAAATACTATCCTCCTGCAGAGTTTATTAGCTTACTTCAGCCTAATAGCCCTGTATGTGTAGATGCCAAGACATTTACTGAGTAGCTAATTAGTCTACTCCACAGTAAATGTCTCGCGTAGACATGCCCTGACAGATCCAGATCAGACTCAAAGTGTGGGAGAAAGCCAGGAAACTACAGGACACCCATGCCAAGTCCAAACTGTTGATGATAAAGTAGCAAATGATTGAGAACTACCTTGAAACAGGTTAGTGATTTAATTCTACTAGTTATATGCATGATATGCTTTCCTGTCACTGATTTGTACAGAATATTTTCCTTATGTAGCTACTCATTTAGAGGGCATTCACAAACTATGAAATAACACTTGATTTACAGATGACTTTAAGGTATTATGCAAGAAACGGGCTGTTTTGGCTTGACAGTATAGTTGGGAGAGATGTCACACAAGGTCCTCAAGTCTGGAAAAACAGCAGGTACAGCTTAAGTTAAATATCAGATAAAACAATGGGACTTGTGTTTAATTCTATATGTAAAATAAAAAAGGCTTTTAAAGGAGTGGAGGAGGACTGTAAACTAGGAACAGAGCAGAGGGAAGACTTCAGAAGTACCTGCTTCCATCCCAGAAGGGCACTTCGTATAAAAAGTCTAACATCTCTCCCAACTATACAGTTGGTCCAATGAAAGGTATCACTAAACAAAAATCCTTGCTTCTCACATATTTCTTGGACCATCACTGCTACAACTCTCCAACCCTACTTTAGAGAATGACTACATTAACAATAAACTTAATTGACATCACTTCTTAGAAATCAGTATTTGCTTCTTACCATTTCCACAGTAGAGCCAGCATTCTTGCCTTTCCAAATAGGGGTTTTCTGTAGGGAACTGTACTTTTCATTCCATGTGCTGGATAAGCTTCCTTCTGTTGAACAGACATATATCATTAATACATTTTTAATCTAACTACTGTCAAAAGTGTTAGCAAGGTACCTTTAAACTCCACTTTAAAAGTATTTTTCTTTGCTGTTTTTAACACTTTCTTAAAGGCTACTTGCAAATGGATTTAAAATTCTACCATCTATCGCAAATTTTTCCAAATGCCCTATAAACCAGGCCAAATGAATTATGCTGCACATTAACGTCTAAAAACTCTTGTTTTCTCCTCCTGAAGTGTTTAGATCTCTTGAAATCCATGTCTGCCATTAAATGTCACATCGGAATAGGAGCTACCTAGGCAGCTATCACAGCTTGCACAGAACCACATGGATATGTAAAGCCAGTTTATGTTTATATTTTTTAAGTAATCTTTTTTTAAAAGTTCACCGTGCAACTTACAAGAGTTCTTCTTTAAAAATATTTCTGTAATTCAGGACAAAAGGTTATAATAAAACATGCAAAATTATTCATCTACCTTCCTCCTCTGGGGGTGGAAAGGGACCATTTTAACAGCATACAACAGCACTACAAAACTGTATATAGAACATTATCAAAAACAATTATGAAAGATAGCAAATTATGGTAGATATCCAAGTTAGGAGAACACAACTGTCCAAGATGGAATACAGAATGAGACATCTATGTCAATGCTCTATTCCTTAAGTCCTGGCAAACAGACCCCTCATTGCTGCATTTGTTCAACATCACCTGCATAACTGCCATAGACACTTTCTGAATCACCATCATCAGTGGTTATCACTACCAGCAGCCATATAAAACAAACAAAAGAAAACACTTTGAAAACTGAAGTTTAAATTTTGTCTGAAAGTAAGTAAAGATGGATAAAAATGGGTGTCAAGGATAGTGAATTCCATAACTTAGGGGTTTTCATACTGTTGTAGAGGACTTTTGACTGGCCTAATTCTAAATACTTAGGGCACTGGCATCTGAACAATATTTTGTAAGGCAAAAGGTGGGCAAAAATATATTGTTTACCAGTTGCTACAGGGTAACTAGTCAGAAGCACACTCTTATTCCACAGTAACTTAGAGTGACCCAGGGTAGCTTAGTCCTCAATAAGTGCTCTAGCATTCTTCTACTATGGTTAAGAGTGTACATATGAAAAACTACCAAGGAGCATCTGATATGCAATAAATCCCTTCTCCCTTTTACTTTGTGGGAACTTGTTCACATGGTCACCCCCTAACATGAAACTACTCCAAGTGCACAAAGCTGAGCAGGTGCATATATCCTTCCAAGATTAGATACAATGATGGAACTCCTAAGAAATGGATATAATCAGAGCCCACACACAAGGCTCAGCCTTGTGGTACTGAATATAGCCATGGCCTAGTATTAGGGGCTTTTCTTAGAGGCAAAGATTTGCTTGGGTGATATCTGTTATTGGATCAATTGCATGGTCTTTCATTAAACACTGCTAAAGATAATGACATTTGAAAAAAAAAAATTGGAGATTTCCAATTTTGTTATTTACCACTTGAAAAGTGAAAAAAAAAAACTTACCTTGTAGGTCTGTTTTTACCATCTTGAAGGATTCGCACTTCTGGGTCTCAACTCTGTAGCATAAAAAAGTTGGAACTTGTCAAGCTCGTAAGGTTTTTTGGCCCAGTAAGAGAACCAGTAACAGGCAGGAGCATGAGCCAGCCCCTTCTGCCACCCTCCACACACTGGTGACCGTGAATCATAATGGATGAAGGGGAGATTGATTCTGATTCATGCTCCTATCAGCTACCACTGTTTGTAGGGGCCAAAAATATTTTTTTAAAAGAAAAAATGTCTTCAAAATTTTGGGAGTTCCATCTCTTCCATGACAGGGAGCTGAGATCCTGGAGTGATAATCCTGCATGGATGGTATCTTTACAAAAATATTTCTCTCTTGTGTGTTCATTTTTGCACTATTTTCAGGCTTATGCAAAGGCATCAATGATGGTAGTTTAATAGTTTTTGGAATTAATTTTTGCAGTGATTAACAAAACTGTAGGTCTCATATAATGAGTGATGAAGGTACTGTTTTATCACTTTGCTAAAGAGCAGATAGGATTTTTTTTTTGGTAAAGCGATATATAGGATATAAAGAATCCAAAGAACACTTTACACCATTTCAAGACAGAAAAAATACTTGGCTTTTAACTAACTGACACTCTGCCTTTAAATTAGCCTCTGCCAGAAGACATTTGACTAGAGAATTAATATTTTTCTATCAAATATTCCAGCACACATCCAGAGTGCACTTTCGGATATATCCATGTGAAATTAATATGTTTAGGCATTCCATTTGCTAACAGCCTAGCATGCAAAAGATGCTGCTTGCATCTACTCTGGGAATAAGGCAGTATTAGCAAGATTATTTTCAAAATGGTGTTTAGAAGAGGTCAACCTACAAACATAATTTGTTTAGTATTACTACTTAAAATAATTTTCTAGAACAATTTTTTCTAAAATGAACACATGCATTCTACCGTAAGTCAGAGGGAACTAAATTGCCCAAACAAAATATGGGCTACTTAAAGCTAGTTCAATAAATAGGTTGTTTTTTCTCTCCACCGTAAATGGGGGCCTTCTAATACATAACAAAATGTCTGATGCCAGGCAACGTACAATTTTGATGCAGAATTCACAAAAAATATCATTCTGCAACGGAACAGTGCAGTTAATAAACAGCTATGTTGAGTTAGTCCACTAGTTCTTGGTGGAAAACACAGCAAGGTTACAAGTTTCCTTCACAATATATAAATTTCATTTTAAGTAAAGATCCAACTAAGAACTCTTCTCTTACCGTACCCAAAGAGAAGGAAAAAATGCCTTAATTTTCTTATCCAACCTGAGGCCTATGCAGTACATAAAGAGAAATCATGTGTTCCCAGAAAGTAACTGCTAAAGGGTTTCACTCTCAAAAGCAGTATCCAAAAATGTTGCAATATATCTGGGATTTGAGTAAGGAGGACGAGACTACTAAATCTACAGATATCTAAAATAAAACAATTAGCTTATGTATTATAAAACCTATTGTCATTATTTGCCTTGGGCAAAACTTTCTGAAACCAGGACCTCTTATTATGTTAGTCTGTTTATCCATCTTGTTTATTTCACACCTAAATAAATAATTGCATTTCTTACCTTTCAAGCTCACGAGTGCTTTTGCTGATGAGCCTGCAATACATTGAAAAAGAGTCCATAAAAATCAAAGTATTTTTTCAAAGTGCGTTTCCAACTAGTATAAAATCTACATATCAGTTACATAATGCCCTGCTTGCAAAGGAAAAGGAATTATTTTTAGATTAACATTTTGATTATTGAGTCAGTGAACAAGTATGCCCTCAACACCCATATGTTCAACAGATCTTAAAAAAAACACATTCAAAACTTTAATTATTCCCTTCCACAATTCTCTTTGGTGCAATCTTCTCCTCTCAGAGACCCAGAGATTCATATGTTAAAACCAAAAAGAGATTGTTAGATAATCTTATATGATCTCCTTGTATAATACAAGCCTCCAAATTTAATCAATTAACCCTGTACCAAGTCCCATAACATGTATAGAAACCCCTCTACAAGTACTTCCAAGGAGATCTCTAGGGTTTGGGGGCTAGCAGGGTGAAACAACTACTTTCCCCACCACAGTTGCATTTCTGTTTTAATCTATGGATTTTCTCAAAGAAATTCCAATGAGGGTTAATTGTTTGCAGTAGTATAATCTCTCATGGAGCCTTCTCAAAGACTGCTTCTGCACAGAGACAGGGGATTGGCTTGCTAGGTTGTCAGAGAAACTGACCTGGTAAAATTACAGAGTGGTGCAGCACAGAGGGGTAGATATTCCTACAGGATGATTCTCTTCTACAAAGATTTGGAGGTTTGTTTTCCTGTGGCAACCCTGTACATGTACACACTCCCACACATCTCTGATTCCCAGAAAATTTTGCAAAAGCAACAAAGGAGTTCTAGTTTGTTCCCACTGAATTGTATGTTCTGGTTCTGTGTCAGCTAATAATGCAAACAATACAATGCCTCTCAACTCCAAGTAGCATATCCAGTGATGACAACAAAAACTAAATTTACTGTATCATTTTTTCCCAGAATGTTTGCTACCATCTTATTACCACTCATTTCCTTATCCTAAAATAACTAAATAAAAACCTTATTACATCTACAGAATTAAAATTATAGGGTCAGATTCTCCTCTGTGTTGACATCCCATTGTTACAGAAGAATGGGGGGTGCATCATGGACCTTGATACAGCTCATGGATGTGTTAGCTATCCCTGTCCCAACCTAACCCTGTAAGCTGCTCTGATTTAGAACAGCTGCTGTGTGGTCACTTAGAGACCACAAGTCTGCTATAAATTGGCAGAGCTGTGCTGCATCTTCCCTGTTCATAAGTGCTCCCCTCACCTTGATAAGTTGGGGGGCTAGATACAGCTAGCATAAGAGCCTGCTTCTTCAGCTTTACAACAGCTGAGACTTGTGCCTGTCTAGCACAAAGTGACCAAACTGGCCCTTTGTCTGGTCCATAATGAATAGCTTAATTATGTAAACCTGATAACTTGCTGGTGAATTAGATTCCAGGGACTCTATCAGGTATCTGAAGTATTTTATTTTGAACTTTTACAAAATCTAATATAAAACCAGAAACATTTTAATTTTAAAAGATTCCAATTATAATGGTTTATTTCAATGTCAACATTACCTTACAGTTTTACAATATAACCAGTTCAACAGAATCAAGCTTTTCTACCTGACTCTACATGAAGAAATTTAATGGTTTAAACTTCCTAGTGGACACTCTCATTATTGAATAAAAGTGCCTTTTTCATACTTTCATTCACAATGCTTTGGAAGCAACACAACCAAGCAACATAACCAAGGGCATTCTTATTCTGAAATAAAAGTATCCACACAGCTAATTATACCAGAATAATTATGCCAGCACATTTTCCTTGTTTGACTAAAGTAGTCTCTTCCCTAAATTAGAGCTGATTGAGTTACCTTCAGTGATCTAGTTAAGTGACTGCCAAAATTAAGCAAGCTTAGAGAACAAGAATTTTTCTTAATTTTTTCTATTTGGTTTAATTGCATTTGGCAGCACTTTGTATACAGGTCAGTTTCTCTGTTACTCATTTGCATAGGTTTTACAAATATACCAATGGAGTAAAAAGCACTTTAATACATATTAACGTGTTTGTAAGAAACAAAGTGACAAGAGAACTCACCACAAGTTTAGTAAATATAATTTCTTAAACTAAAATTGCAGAGTCTTTTCGTGTCTCAAAACCACTTTTTACCATTTTGCTACACATCCCTGGGCTCATTTATTGTACTTGGTGAGGTTTTTCATCGTACACATCTTCAACCAGAAGGCATTGCAAGAAGTGTTGCATAGTCTAAGCTCTGTGCTGCAGTCACAGGTGGTTGAACCAATGGTATGGCCTCACTTCTTCAGTAATGCTTTGGAGCATCCAACTTCAGTACGCAGGCAGCTGAGACGGCACAAATTTTGCCATGGTTCATTAAGTCCCTGGTGGTGAAGACTCGGCTTCTGGAATGTCCATTTTTTTTGCTGTCAGGTATTTTTTTCAGTCTTGAGTTCCATATCTGTAGTTGTCTCTCTTTGGGTATGGCACTGAGAAGCTGGGTACTGGTGAGGAAGCTCCTGCAGGACTTCAGATGCATGTGCTGCGGGATGGTCATACAATGGGTGTCTCACACCTTCAGTTTGCCTTGATTGTTCTATCCTTCTGGCCACTGCTCTTCTGATGCCAGGCGGCATGATGCCAGTCAGCAGGTACACACTGTTTAGGCTGGTAGGCTTCACAAATCCTGTGATGTATCAGCAGCTATCATACAGAATGGGGTTCAAGGTGCTTAGCATTTACAGATCTCTCCCATACATGGCATGCATGCTCAGCAAATGAGAAGCTGAGAGCCAGAGCAGTGGGTTAGGATGGCTGAGGTGCTAGCTCCCCATTTCAAATTGGTGAGCTTATATAAAATGTTGCTATGACTACTCACTTTTGCTTTTGTCTTCACATGTTCTTTGTACGAGAGGGTTCTATCAAAGACGACTCCAAGGTAAACTGGGTTTGGACAGTGGAATAGCGCAGTCCCAGACCACGTAATGTTGAGCTGGCGATTGGCCTCACGGTTTTTCAGATGGAAGGCACACACTTGTTTTCACTGGGTTGGCACACAATTGGTTTTCAATGTAGTATGAAGTTAGACCTATTAGTGCCTCAGGGATTTTTCAACATGGTTAAAGCCAGTGTTTTGGGCTGTTATGCACAAGTCCTCTGCATATATTACATGTTTTGTTTCCAAATCAATTGGCTGGTTATTTGTATAGATGTTAACAGCAGTGCAAGTATGCTTCCTTGGGGGAAACCATTAATCTGTCACCTCCATCTGCTTCTTCCCATTCAGTCGATAGAAAAACATCTCGTTTCAAGCAGGGTTTGTACTAGCTCTATAAGATGCAGATCTTCTGTCATTTCCAGGGTCTTGTGGAGGAGTTGGTGGTGGTTAACTGCATCGCAGGTGGCTGCTAGTTTGATGAACACAGATCCAGAGATCTGGCCTATTTCAAAACTATCCTCAATATGTTAAGTTAGATTGAGCAGTTGGCTCATTGTTGATTTCCCAGGGCAAGAGCTACCCTGTTCAGGGACTCGATGATTATCTACATATGGGGCAAGGCTGGTTCAATATCAGTCATTCATACAGTTTGTATGTGTGGCATAGCAGGGAGATGGAACTGAAACTCTTTGGGTTGGATGGTTCTATCCCTGGCTTTAGAAGTGTCACTACATGCGCATGTTGCCATATCTTTGGAACTTTTTGACTGGCTGTACATGCATTGTACAGGCAGAGGAGCCACTCTTGGGTCTAAATTGCTTCATTTGTTCAGTAAGTATGTCGTCAAGGCCAGCCACTTTCCTGGTCTTCAGTGAATTCAGATCAGTCATTAAGAAGGGGCTTGTTAAACCCAGGTCTTTAGGGTAATTGGAGGGTTAAAAGTGGATAGAATTCACACACTTAAATGGCAGATACAGACATAAACAGCCACTCTAAATGAACCACCTTATTTTATTTTTAAAATTAAAAGGGTTAAAGCAATATAAATGCATATGTGCTTGGTGTAATATTTGAAGAGTAAGTCAGATATTGCCCACTGACATCAACACTATACAATAAACAGACTGGAAGGAGTACAGAACAGCAATAACACATTATTCATGGATATTATAAGTCTGGATTTTAACTCCCCAGACTAAGGAAGATCATGAAGTTAACTATCTGGTCTGATCCCACTGACCAGGATGCACACTTTAGGGGTCTGAAGCAGGGACTCCTACACTTACAATACAATCCCCAAACTAGCTACTAAAATCAACAGGGCCAGACTTAAATCTGCTACAATACCAACCCAGTGACAAGGACAACAAAATCCCTCTTGTTGTAACCTACAGAGCCTTGGCCACATCAGTAATGACCTCCAACTCCTCCTGGCAAATGATGACCATCTCAAGGCAGCCTTCAGGGACAAACCTGTCCTGACTTACAGGCAGCATCAAATGATCTCTCTCCAGCAGCAGGCTGCCTAACTGCTATTCTCACTGAGGCACCAAAACTTGCAACAGACCCAGATGCCAGCTGTGTCCCCTCATCAACAAAGGTCAGATTGTTCCTAGACCAAACAACATGGATTACAATATCTGGGGTTCATTCATTTGCTCCTCTACAAACATCAGATATGCCATCACCTTCTGGCAGTACCCCTCTGCTGTCTATATTGGGCAGTCAGAGCAATCCGTACATGAAAGAATGAGTGGTTCCTGATCTGACATCAGTTCCAGAAAAGCACACAAACCTGTGGCAGAATACTAACTTCCCTGGACATCCTATCACTGACCTCAGAGTAGCTGTTCTTAAAAAATACAACTTTAGAAACTGACAAATTGCAGTCCAGAAACCACCCACTGACTGCATTGTGTTAAGTATGGGCTCAGCAGAGAACTGGATTCTTATCCCATTACCTGGATTGGCTTTTATAACCCCTCTCTCCTTCAATAGGTTAACTGCTTTGTTTATCCCCCTTGAGCTTTACCTCCCATTCACCTCTCTTAGGTGCTTCCTTTCCTCCCCCTTTCCCTATCCTT